TGTATTCATACAATCAAACAGGTAGTTGAACATCCGACAAAAGTGCTCTGTTTCGCTGGTATCTTTGTATACTGATTGTGGTTCCCCTATCATATCCCTGTGAACCTTAAATAGATCTGCCACAGATTTGCTGAGAACCTAAATTCAGTGATGGTTAATATTAATTAATTAATGTGCGTAAGTGATATACTTGTGCTGCCAGGCGAACATTCATTCGTGAATATGATGTCAATTTAACATGCTCCATTTTCAGCTGCTTTCCAATGTATAGACCAGATTCCTCGCGACTCCAATTGTACAAATCAATGACATGACTCCATAGGATGTGCTTTCCATTAATCTAAAAATCAGTAGTATATTAAAGCTCATTATTGGTGAACATGCATACCTCCAAATGCCTAGTTCCATTTTTTGAGGAGTTTTCCCAACAATTACGCGTAGTTTTAATCAGATGGCAGATGTCTGACATAAACCACACAAATCTACAAAAGAGAACAAATTTAATATTTATTAACAATCATAATTCTTCTATACTTAGTAGGATCATAAATATTCTTTGCTTTGTAGACAACTCCATCTTTGATACAGCTAGCATCACTATGTAGCTTAAAAAACTTCCGATTAGTACTTATTCCATCAGCTACCACTAAAACCACTTCTAATTCAACTTCCTTCAATTTTCTTATAGCAGTCCATATTATATCATACAACTCTTGGCCAGAAATAGCTGAATAGTAATATAAAAATTTAAATTTTTTCAAACATTTAAATGTACATTGTACTTACTGGTTGTAGCAAACTGACCCAATGGATAGTCAAGTTTAACAAATATCCCTCTCACACAAACCGCAAGCATGTGGGTAGCAACATCTTGCTTAGGCTCATCTTCTCCCTTGACACTAGCCTCAAATGATTTTAACATGTTATTCATGTTTCCTGTGTCCACATATCCAATCATATTACCAGTGACATTATCAAAAACAAGTCCTTCGCGAATCTTCATTTCATCAAAAGCTAATACAACGTGCCTATTAAAGAATGGCACATATTCAGGACATCATAATAATATGCCTGTACATGTACCTTTGTGCCAAATTAAGTTCCGATATCTTGTAATCTTCAGAAATCTGATGAAATGTTTCGTTTTGATAGCCCAATCTCTGCTGATACCAGTTTGTATAATCTCTCAATGTTCGCTGAGAGGGCAGAACGATCATTTCAGATTCCCGAATAAGATTATAGGTTTTGGGAGATGACAACATCACACTGATACACCAGCGAAGAAAAAATGGATGATATCGAACTCCCTGAGTACTGGGTTGCTTCATTGCTGTAACCTAAAAGTTCAAAATGGTTACAGTTA